GTAGTAGCTTCTCTTTATGAATGGAAATATTGAAAACAGTATTCCTTCTGAGCAGTTTCATTCTGTAACGGAGATAGTAAAAGATTCCAGTGTATTTTAACTTGTTTTGGGCAGAAGACAGCATGGGTTGACTTTGCTCTTTGTGTCTCTCTCTCTTTGGTTAAAGGTGATAATTGTGCCTGGACTCCTGTATGCAGCCAGTGCCAAGATGCAGGATTATCTCCAGCTACAGTAGAAACGGGTGAGGATCAGTTTTCTAAGGCAGGATATGGGTTTCCTTCTTTTCTTTTAAAAATAATTGAAAGCTTGTGATAGAGAAATAAGCTTTAGAAAATGTGGCAGAAAAGCCACTTAGCTGATGGAACCAGCCTTGAATGAAAATAAATGCTGCTCTGTTTTAGATCAGCATTTTTGCTTTCCCTGGGTTTCTTACTAATGTCTCTTCTATTATTCACTGCATATAATTTTCGAGGCCTAGAAACAAGCAGTACTTTAGACTTAAGTTTGGGGAAAGGGGGAGCTAGGCCTAAAACTTTACAAGTTACATATGTGATACAGAGTAGGTCATGTTTCTCCTTACCATTAATATCCACTCTAGTCTCTGAAGGTAGAGGTAACAAAAACGTCTGTGATATAGGAAGTACTTTAAGCACCCACCAGCTCATTCTCAAGGCAGTCCTCCTTGGTCACAGGAAAGTCTTACTCTTGGCTCCTGGTTAAAATAACCCATTTTGCAGTGTTTCCTTTTGCATGTTTTTGCTACTTTTCAAACAAACGGACATTTTATGCCAAAATAAAAGCTTTGTGACAATATTTGTTTTGCCTTTTTTCTTTTCTTTTTTTTTCTTTTTCTTTTTTTAAACTATTACTTTAAAGATATTCTTCCCCCCCTTTTTTAGTTGCTGTTTCTGGTTCTCATGTGGCTGCCTCTGCTTGTCAGCATTCTCTGAGCAGTTTCCTACCAACTGGAAAACAGAGGGATACCCGGAAAACTGACCTGCACCTAAAGCCAAGGGCTTTTCACACGGTCTCAAAAGAGCGGCCACACTCCTTAGTGGACCTTAAGGCCTATAAAGACACAAAAATTTTAGTAGCAAAATTTTTGGAACATTCAAACTGTCATCTCCCTCCAGAAGTACGTCACGTAGTGAACAGCATACGCTCAGTAATTAAATCTGACGAGAGACACATGGAAGAAGCCATCTTCAGTGCCAATATTATAGACCAGGTAGGCCACCTGTGATGTGTTCAACTTTGATAGACAAGCCTTATTTAAATGTTTCTACTGTTTTAACCACTTCAGGCAATTGCTACAGAAGTTCTTTTATAGTAACATGGTATATTTTCATAGTAAGGAATAGTTTATATTTACTGGGCAGCCGTGCATTTTACAGTGAAGCATAATAAATGCATTTAAAATCACTCAGCTTGGCCCAGTAAGAACCTGGAAGATCTGCAGGGAACTGATTTACACATTGATAATCATCCTCTCCTATCTCCAACATCTTTCTGGACCTGTGACTGTTCCATACATCAGTTTGGAATGTGTATATATGGAGATATACAGAACTGACTTGGATCTGTTGTTTTTTGAGGCAGTTGTATTTGTGCAGCATAAGCTACTGGCTGAAAAGAACGAGTAGATATCCAAGCAGGGCCACATCCATCTGAACAAACAGTGCAGGCCAGAAGAATTATAATGGCCCTTGCTGGTTTTAAGAATCGAGAAGTTGTGCTTTTCCAAATGAAAGAATAATGCTGAGTGACAATAAAACAGACATAAGGTGTGGAAGGAATCCTATAAAACAAAGGAACTAATACTGGAAGCACCTCATGCATGTTTAATAATGCATCATTTTTTGCAGGAAGAAAGGTGGTGAATCACCTCTTGTGAGTATTGTTACCAGAATGACAGATACAGAAATGAAATTCTGACCTTGTCCAGCTGGAAAAGCAGAATTCTTTTAGCACTAACTAACCACATTCAGGATGCCTGTAGGGTTTCCACAGAGCTGGACAGCTGACTAAGGATACACCCTAGGGGGCTGTTTCTCTCCATTCTGAGGCATTGTAATTTCTAGGATAATTGGTCTGCTGATCCCTAAATGAGGGAAATTGTCTAAATGTTAAAATAGGATGTGGTAACACTTGAAAAGCACATGAGAAAGTTTGATGTGCAGCAGGAACCATGCAGCACTTCATAAAGCTTGCTGCAAGACTGCTTTTGCTACCTGTGAAGTAGAACACAGAAGCAGCGCTGTATCAGCTGCCTTTGTAGCCACACAGACAGAAGAGCTGTCCTGTCAGCGTGTGCTTAGTACTGGCAGCGTGAAATTTTAATGATTTTATTGCTTTACAAAATGTATAGCCCATTAAATCCCCAAGGTTAGAAAACTGAAAACAAATTTCTTTATGTGAAGAAACCCACAGCTGCTCACACTTTGAGTGCTTATGTAGATCATAGAGCCAGAACCAGAAATCAATAGCCCAGTTTTTATCCTGTGTGGATTTCTTAGATCCAGGGAGACATACCTTTTCTCCCATTAAAGAAATCATTTTAGGAGTTATATTTTTCAGACAAAAACCATTATTTATTCATGAAAGCCCAGGGCATCCCTGGGCTACTTAAGAAGTCACAAAATTTGGGGTAAAATAGTTGTGTAATTCAGAATTGAGAAGTGGCTTACAATTCTATTAAAACTAAAATGCTTGTTTACCAGGCTTGCAAGGCTTTAGTTGTCTCCCACCCTCACAATGCTAGTAAAGTATCTCTCTCCTAAAAGAAACAGAATAATTTGCTCCAAACTCCTATTTTCCCATTATAAGACAGAGCTGCTACCTTTTCCGCAGATTTCCTTGCAGATACTCGTTTGTCCTGTGTGGACACCACCCTGCAGTGCAGACAGAAACCTCGCTGTGCCTTCCAGCCCTGGGCCCTGGGCAAGTGGAAGGACAGAACTGGAAGGGCTCTGGAGGGCTGCACAAACCCCCATCTCCTCTGGAAGACTTCCATCATTGGATAGCTTAAATGAAATATTATTCAGAGACTGAACTTTTTAAATGAAAACCTTTCTTACCCTGTTTTCCCCCTTTTTTCCTTGTCCACTGCTGCCCCTTTGAACAGGTGATTACGAGTTCCCAGCAGAGCGTGAACACCTCCAGGAAGCGGCTCCGGGAGGACCTTCACCTGCAGAGCTGTGGTGCTCTGAGCTCGCCAGTTGCCTTCTTACGCAGGTCCCACCTCTCCCGAAGTTCCGAGCGGGACAGGCCCCACAGTTTAATCGGAGTCTGCAGGGAGACCATCCTTTGATAACGTTCCCAGGTACGTGACTCCAGCAGAGGAGTGTGGAAGAAACCAGAACTGGGACAAATACAAGCAGTGGATGACTTAAAAAGGAAAAAAGTGTCTTCCCTTGGAATACCACTTCTTTCCAACAGCAGGATGAGAACAGCTGTTTTTCTGAATGTAAATTTCAGCCTTGATTTTTGCAAAATTTTAATTGATTTATTAGTTAAGTCATAACAAATGTTTTCCCAACCAGAAATGCGTTTGTCACTGTACTTACAGAAATGCTACTGATGCTGCCCAGCATTTCTTGAACACCACTGCAAACCCACCAGAGACTGGCTGTACAACTTAAAAGTTGTATTTACTTAATGTACCTCAAAGTGTTTTAACTATTGTCAGTGTTTCAATAAAAAGTATTTCTGGACTTCGCTTTTTCAACAACTGATTTGGATAGAAACGTAAAGGGGATCCACACACACGTAACAGTGCTGCTTCTAATCCATTTTCCCAGTGTCCTTCATTCCAGACTAACTGATCTGTCTGATTAAAACTCCTTCCCCCATCCCCCAGTGTTGCCCTTTCAACTTACAGGAATGGCTGCCGTTTATTTCTGCTTTGTTCTGGATGCTCATGAGTTTATTCCTGCAGTAGTACCGGGTACTGAGAACTGATGTTGAATTACTCTGCAGTGCGTGGCCAAAAGATGCATTAGGGAAGAAGACTTTGAAATTCTGCATTTCCAAAAAACACCTTTCTCAAACTTTATACCAACACCAAGTGACAGCAAGTTAGATGAATTTTTATCTAGCAGAGCCTTGAATGTTTTTTCAAAAAGATTTTTACTCCAATTAGTATTTTTTGACAATTTTATTACTAAAACATGTCCTTGTGGTTTTGCTGTGTTTATGATTTATTTAACATTGATCTTAAAAAAAATATCAGAAAGTAAATGTCATCAACACTTAAATTTGATTACCAGCATAAACACAGGTCTGCCAGCAACGTCTTCCAGTGCAAGCTTCATCCTGGCTCTCTCAGAGGAAATTGGAAAGGCCTTAAACAAAAGGTTCTCATAAAGAACCTACCCCAGGTTGGTGTTTCAGGGGGTTAATTGTTTTGCAGCAGTGCTTGTCAGTAGCGTTACCTTCCATTTGAGCTTTAATCTTATACTGGTTTCATTTGTGTCACTCTGAGCTGGGCAGACATCCTGTGAAAAGGTCACAAAGGAATGTAGCTGAAGATGGATAGTTTTAAGTTTTACAGAATCATCCATTTTAATGTATTTTAATTATAGCGTGCTCCTGTATCGATGTGAAGTTACAGTGACATCCAGTGGCAACAAGGTTTGCTAATTGAAAGCATCTACTCTCAAGATAATAATGATATCCAAATTCCTAATTCACAAGATTAATTCCCTTCTAAAAATTAACCTGTGACCTTTGCAACTGCACTTAGATTAAAGAATTAAATGATCTTCTACTTGGATTTTTTTACTATGTAAACTTACACAACAAACAGAATAAGCAAGCTTCCTTTCTTATTTCAGATTTATTAATGATAGGTTAATTCTTTCCTAAGGTCAGTTGCATGCAACACACTACTCCTTGAAGTACAGTCATCTAAAGCTCTTTAGTTACTGCATGGTAAGGCTTCTTAAGTCACAGTGTATTTTCTTCAAGGCCTTGGCCGAAAGAAAAAGAATTCGACAAAGTTACACCAGTTAACATTTATCTCATAAGGAATACAACTTTACTACTAGGTTTGTTATCTACACACATTCTAATACTGCTGATGGTGCTAGGTTATTTGTCAAAACAATTTACATTCAGAACACATTGCCTTAGGAATAAGAATGCTTTATAAAAGACAGGAACAGGTAAGCATGGCTTTCCCATTTTAAGCTACTATGAACAAAAAAGTAATATGCAAAAATTAAAGGAAAAAAAACCCCAGCCCAACACATACAGTACACGACCTGTGCAATAAGTTATCCGTGAAATAACTCTGTTAAATCATAAAATCACAAGCATTAAAAATAAATATGTATCTAAATAAATATTTTGATTTTAATCTTGTGGCAATTATTCTTTATTTAGCATATGAAACACTTGTTACATGTTTATGTTCACACCTTGCCAAACAGGTTACACTTGTCATAACAATACCAAGTACTACAGTGGTTTTCTTTACATTAGAATCTAAAAGTTTTAACTGCACGCATTCCTTTCCACTGAAATACCACCTATTCAGCACCAGTTTTAAAATTATGCAAAGTCATCAGTATTGGACCACTTTATGGGACTGGGATTTTTTTTTTTAACTTGAGGCAGCCAGAACTTTTTCTAATTGCTTCTCTTTGCCATTTCCTGCAGTCTCATTCATCAAATATTCACATTCACTGTGTTATCAAACAAGACAGACATACATCACTCCACATAAAGGTTACAAATAAATATGTTTTAACTTCTATGAGAAAAGGATTTAGAAGATGTTGCAAAATACTTAAATGTTTACAAAGATTTTTGTCAGTGATTATTGTCCTTGACCATCCTTCTCAACACTTTTGTCATAGAAATAGAAAGGAGAGAAGCAGAGACACCTGTGTGTTCCTTGTTCTGGAGTCCTCAGGTCAGCTTCCAAGCCTTTCATTCATACAAAATACAAAATTCTCTTCAGCTATGACAGCTTCAGCTTGGATGGAAAATGCTAAATGTACAGTGGGGTCTCCTGCCCAGTTAGAAGCCTGAACATGGCCGCTGGCATAGTCTTCATGTGTATCTGTCAATGGATTACACACAAATTAACACAGTTGTTACTAATTTAACATAATCCATAAGGCCCCATCTCTCTCCTTGTGCTCTAAGTGCATTTTTTGTCCTGGTTTCTACAGATGTGAGTGTTAACCAGAGTTTCTAGTTCAAAGTTCTCTGATTTCAAGATGTTAGTTCACTGTCTTTGCTTTTTTGTGGGGGTATTTTTATTATTTATTGATGACAGTGACAGGATGCAACACTGTATGACGCCTAAACACTTTCTATTGTTACACCCTACTCCAATTACAACCCTTAAAAAAGCAGCAGCACAAACCTCTCTGAAAATTCATTCTGTTGTTCTACCCTCCTTCCCTGTGGGAATGTCATTTCAGAAGTATTTTCTCCTAATCGGAATATGATCCTCTGAACACAAAACGGAGACTTTACCACCTGATGTTTAAATGCCAACCAAGAGTTTGGTGGAGCTACTTCTCTTGTGGCTCCTGTACTTCAGTTCCTTCTCCAAGGAGTGCTGTGATGGTACAGATGAAAGGGTGAAAGGCTGAGTTAATCGGGGTTCTGTCAGGACTGCACTAAGGCTGTGAGTACCCCCCAGACAAGAGGAAGGAAATGATAATGTGGTCCCTCTCCAGCCATGTGCTGCCTTGACATCTTGTTCTCTTCATGCTGTAAAAGAGTTCCATGCTGTCCTCTTCTGTTTAGTGAAGATTACAGAGCAGAGAGGGACAGAAGGGTGGGTGGGTGTGCTGAGAGGTGCAGCTTTGCTCCTGGCCACCTGCACATGCCCGGTATTATTTTTCCACTATCAATCTTTTCACAAGGAAACCACCTTGCTTTAATTTTTGGCAAAGAAACTAGTGGGAGATCTGGCCAGGGTTGTGTATGAGACTACCACTAAATTCAGAAGGGATTTTCATAACCTGAGGGATCTTGCTCATTTGTTGCTGATTTCTCTAGAAAAAGAGAAATCTTTCTCTGGAAAGAGGTGTCTTAGCTTATTCCCAAAGTAAGTTTGGACATTAGGTTATTAAAATGTATATCAATTTATATCTCTCAGCCCTCTGAATATTAATTTATTTTTATGGCAGATACTGTAGTGATAAGCCAAGAGACATTTCATAGCCAACGTACTTGAGTGATTTATTATTTTAATCAATTGGTTTAATTCAAACAGTAGGGTGAATGTACAGAATCATGCCAGGAGCTTTTGAAAATGAGTGGAAAAAAATGCAGTGAATGTGCATCTAATTGTTCAAAGAAATGTTTTGTTTGTTGTTTCTCTTCAGGGCCTAACTCCAGTTTATTGAGGTGCTGGTTTTAAGGCTATGTTAAGACACTCTTTTCAACTGAAATACACATTTTTCCACCTATTTTAATTCCATGATAAAATATTTGCTTCCTTACCTCTCCTACTGAATTAGACAATGCCTGTACGATCTTCTCGTGAGCCGTAGCAACGACGCTTTGGCCGTTGATCTCGATAATCCGATGGCCTACCCTGACCCCTCCCCTCTCTGCTATTCCACCTCGCATCAAGCTGCAGATCTGCCAAGAGAAAGCAAAGTTTACTGAACCTTAGAAATAGCATAATGGAACAGTTACTGGGAATTAATCCATTATGAGTGGTGACACCATAAGGATTCCAAAAGATGCTTGTGGAAACTATTCATCAATACTGTGAGTTTTTAAATGTTGGGCTAGTGGTTTGTTAAGGTTTGGTTTATTTTCAAGATTTCTGCTAATTACAATTTTCGTTTTCATTCTCTTGGGCTGAGAACATAAAAATATTTATCACGGTGACACAGGTACTAGCCACGCAATAGTGGGGAAGAGAAAAGTTTTATCCACCTGCTGGACCAGGAGAAGAAAGTGATTTAAAAATATTTCTGACTGTATACTGGAAAACATAAAAAGTGATAAAATCTAATCTACAACAGCAGTTTTTTTCACGTGGAAAAAAACCTCTGACATAAAGTTTAATCCTTAGCCCTGTACAAATGCTAGTTTAGGCTGAAGGAAGCTGGCATTTGTCAAAGGGGTCACAAAGTTATAAGGAAGATACAAGGAAAGATCTATTTCAAAGATCTAAAGAAGAAATTTTTTATGATGAGGGTGGGCAGGCCCTGGCCCAGGTTGCCCAGAGAAGCTGTGGCTGCCCCTGGATCCCTGGAAGTGTCCAAGGCCATGCTGGATGGGGCTGATGGAAGGTGTCCTTGCCCATGGCAGGGGGTGGACCAAGCTCATCTTCACGGTCCCTTTCAACCCAAACCATTCTGTGAGTCTGTGAAATGTGCAGATTCTGTTTGTTTGTACGGGCTGTCCTCAGCATAGTGAGAAATGACCTCTTGTTTCTGGCCCTTGCAGAACGGAAAGGGCTCTGCTCTGCAGGGTCCCGCGTTCCTCCCCGGCGTGCAGTGCTGCAGCCAGAGGGAGCTCTGGCAGCTGAGGGACCAGGAGAGAACTGCACACAAGTTTTGAATTTTATGCCCTGTACAACAGGATAATAATTCTACAAGAAGAGTTACATTAACCAGACAAAAGTCCCAGCAGACACTGCTACTTAAATCATTCTGAGGTTGCAATGTGTGTAAGGTGCAGGCAGAAAGAAAAATCTCATTCCAGTACGGGGAATTTAAAAGACTGTTCCCTCCTCAGCAGCAGGATCTTCCCTGGCACCTGACAGCTGTGTATTCACAGAAGTTGCTGCTCAGTTACTTGAGATGACTAAGCTCATGCATCACGTAAAGCATACAATGTATGGCTTGAATCTCTGGAACCAAGCAGAGTTTAGCAGTGCTGAGACTTGCCTTTTGTTTACTGAGAAAAAACTATTTTTGGAGGGACAGAAATGAGTGCTGGAGCATTCAATAATGGCTGTTTCTGCAGTTACTGTCAAGGGTTAGAATTATATGCCAAGAATTACGATTTGTGATCTGGTCATTTGCTCAGAGCTAAATACAAGTATGGTAAGATGTGTCCCAGTGAGCTGGTACTCTAATTCAGAAGCACAGGATGTGGGGAGATGGCCAATCTGGAATGTATTGAAGGTGAAACATTTTCTACAGTTGACTGGAATCCTTTTCTGTACATCACTGGCAGTTTTCTGGAAATTCCTCCTCACAAATAACAATGCTATAAAAAATGAAATCCCTCTTTACTCCAAGTTCAGACCGATACAGGGAGTGAAAATACATAGTTATTCTTCATTTATAAAAAGCCTTTCTCAGCGTTCAGGAAAAAAACGTTCCTCCTGCAGTGAGATTTATCTGCACTGTGCAATCTCTAGAGGCTGAGTGTTACCTACTGTGGTTCAGAAAGTATTTCTGATGGGCTCCTATGGATGGAGGCACCGTCAGACCCTTCACAGAACTGTGCCTCGAATTTCACTCACATACAACGTATTGTTTTGCAGGTAGTCTACCTTCTAATCATATACCTGACAAGACACACAGTACTACACAGATCTTCCCTTTTACACAAAGCTCAGTTCAGCTCCCTGTGGGAACAGCAGTTTGCTCCTTGCTTTGGGGATTGTGTGCAGTAATCAGAAGGGACAAAAGCAGCATGTACCAAAAGAAACACTGTAAATACATTTTGCAGGGCATAAATGAATATAGAGACAGTACAGGTAGCTGAAATAAAAGCTTTTGGAGCAAATGGAAACATGACCCCTCACCCCACCAGCATTGAGGGAAAGATAATGGCTTGCATACCTATGCAGAGCACCTTTCCTTGTGTGGCTCTCAGAGCACTTTTAATGCCATCTCTTTAATACCACCAGTGAGTTTCTGCCTTTATCAGCTTCGGACATAGGAAGTGAAGTCTTCTCATTCAAGAACACGATCCCACTCCAGGGAAGGCAAACAGCTTCCTTTTTGTGAGCATGAACTCTTTCAATGAGGCAGGAGAAGCAGACCCAGAGCCCGACGGCTCAGCGCAGCCTCCCAGCCCCTGGAGAGCCAGAGCAGAAACACACTGTGCTTCCAGCACATCTGCCTGGCTCCTGTATCTGCAAGGAGCCAGCTCAAAGCAACCTAAAGTCTTTTGTCTCCAGCCAGTGGAGGTTATGGCACATCAGGCTGACAAGTTTAAACTGAGCAGTACCACTAAGTAAATATGATTTTAGTCAGCCAGGACTCTTTAACGTGCTCTGTTTGTTGAACATGGCAACAGCTGTAATATTATTAGATAAAGCAAGACAGATCTGGATCTTCTTGTAAGCAAGAGTCTACCCTCTACTGACTCTGTAAACTGAAGGTAATAAAAATAAAAATTAAAAAAGTTTAAAAAAAAAAAAAGGAAGAAAAATGTATAAACCACACTGGTTCAATCTATTCAGCTATTACAGATTTGCAATGTCTTAGACATCAGATGGAAAATTCAGTAGCTTCACAGTTTTATTGTAACTGTCCATCGTGTAGCAAAGCATAAAGGATAAAGTAGTGCTGGGCAAACTGTTTATCCTCTGTAAATGCCTTAACCATAATCAGTTAAACCAGGTTTCTCCTCATCTCACTCCTATATCTTGCTATTTAAACCCTGTACATTTTTCCACAGTTTAAATTATAATAAACAAAGGCAGGGAAGAAGGAATAAACTGTTCTGTCAAGTTTTATCTAGTTTTACTGTACTTTTAGATAGAATTGTGCTAGGCTAGGGACAGGGAAGATACACTTCTTAGATCTCAGTCTGAGATCTGGACTGAGAACTGGTGCTTTATCAGCATTAAAAATACAAGTAGCAATACACAGATTTTTCATAACCTAGGAAACAATAATGTGATACAAGATGACCACTTGTATTTAAGTATCATCATTTTAAAAGAAGTGTAGCATAATGATTTTCAGAAGGTGGCTGATAGGTCATCTTGTGTTCACCTCCCCATCCACAACAGTCATACTTGTTTCATATGTATGCCCAATATTTCTTTTCCTTAATATTTTACAGTTCAAATTCTAGAGTCTTTTTTATAACTATGCAACAAAATTACATCAGTAACTTTCAAGAGCCAGGAAGAGAACCTGCATCACTAGTACAAGAGGAATTTTGCAAAATGAACATTCTGGTTTATGCTGTTGTGCTATTCCCTAACTAGAACTTCCAAAAGCTGGCACTGCTAGTGCTCCACAGAGCACAACTTCAGGCTTTGCATTGATTAAACTGTACACAACACAGAAAAACCAGTCACCTGCAGCAGCCCAGTGTGTGCATCTGCCTGATATCCTGTGCAGGCAGAACCAGCTCAGGCAGTGCTGCTGTGTGTGCAGGTTATTTATGGGCCCCTCCCTGATACAAGAGCTGTGCATCCTGCACAGATCAGATAGGCAGCCTGAACAGGCTGCTCTCAGGAAGCACAGAAACAAGTGCCAGCTGCATGGATAATGAGCTAATGGCATACCAGTAAGAGACATTTAATTATAGCCACGCTGGCAAGCCATTTATTTCTTTGCTGTGCTAATGCTGAGCCAATGAAGAATAACGACATTATCATTTCTGAATCCTATCCCAATTTGTAACAGTTGCTGGCAATTACAAAACTGCTTTTAAAAAGTTCAGTGCCCAACTGCAAGAGAAGGGCTTTGCAGAGCCATATTTTCACGTGTTAAGTAAGAGGGAGTTTATCAGAGGAAGGATTTTACAGGCTCAGATGCTTGTCCTGTATATAGCAGCCTAACAAAAGATGTTAACCTCCACTTTTGGTTCACTGATTTTTATATTCAAACACAGACTTTTCATAAAGGAAATGCATTACAAGGTTTTTTTTTTTCTTTAAGCTGAAAATTATTTTTATGCAGAATTTAGTGAACTTTATACTGGGTGTCATCTAAATGTCACTCGTTTAACTGGAATTAATGATGGTCCTCCAGAGTGGTGACTAAGGCAAAGCCAATAGATGGAGCACACTAGGACAGAAGGCAACCAGAGTCTGCAGAATTTACTGAACTGAGACTCCAGTTAGGTAGGAGATGATTAGCTGGGACAAGATGAATAGACTGTGTCACAGACTCCATAACTGTCTCTGTTCCATGGGAGGATGTGGATGCTTCTAAGCCAACCTGGCCTGATTCTTTTCCCCAGCCCTGCCCCAACCCCCACCAATGCTGTGAACAGGCTCCCAGAGACAGGTTTACAGATCCTGAAATATATTCTCCAGCTGAACATACAAGATTTACAAAGGCCAGCAATTAGAAATCAGTGCCTCATACAGTGTCATGTGGCACCCTCTGTGAGATCATGTCAAAACAGATCCCATTCCTGTCATCCTTCTTATACCAAGACTTGGGATTTGCTAACAGAGAGTGAACTACCAGCAATAACCGTACCCACTCATATACACATGATTAAGCACAGGCAGAGGGGACAAAAATACACCACACACCTGATTTTTCTCCACTCAAGCATCAAGAGCATTTATCCCAAACATGACAATACTCTAAACCTCCATTTCTAAAGGATGTTAACCTGGGGTAGGTATCACTCTGGAGTGCTTCCAGCTGGACCAAGACCTGTAGTGGTGTTCTTTATACCAATCTCTGTTGGCCACAAGGTGAGATGGGATCTTAGGGAAGCACACTTCAAACTAAGGTACAGTAATAACTTAGAGGTGGCCAGCAGAGCTGAAACCCCCTCCTGAGCCATCTGTTTGCTCAAGTGCAGGAAGACCCATAAACCACGTCCTGCAGAGTTACCTGCTGCTCTTCCAAGGGTGGCAAACAGAAATCTGGCAATCCAAGTGATGAGTTTCACAGGCAGGGGAGCAGAGCCCACAGTGCTTGGGGATGTGGTTTTCTGTGTGAGCAGCAGGACTGTTTTTTTTCCTAGACTGGAGAAGATGAGATGGCGATGGTCCTGCACTCCAGACAATCTCTACTGCTCATATCAGCCCCCAGAAAGGCCAGTGACTGCCTGAGCTAGTTGAGTGGGGAGTTTGCTTTGGAAAGGTATTGGAGAAGGGCTTGGAAAGGAAGAACTACAAGAGGAGGGTCCTGAGCTGCACGGGGTAAGTCTTACCTGCCACATTTGTTCTCCTGTTTTCTGCTGTCATTACAGGGAAGCTGCAGCATGCACAGAAGGGATACCTGGGCCACAACCTATGCAATTACTTGTAGTGAGAGGTGGTTAGTTTTAACAAGAGAAGGTCACAATTACATTCCCTTGCCTACTATCTTGTGCTCCAAATAAATTATGTACAGCAGAAGAAAAAAGTCTTAGTGAGTGTGTGCTGAAATTTTTTAAAAAAAGAAACAGGATCAGAGCTAAGATTAGAATGTCTCAATTGTAAAAACCTGCTCCAGCCTAACGTTTCCTTGCAACTCTGGCACACTAATAACAGTTACACATGAATTAGTTGATCCACGTTGCACCAAACAATCTGGACTATAAATCTTGTGGCCTTTGTTATACAGGAAAATCCCTCAAGAATGTTCTCCCTGTGTTGTCCATTTGGGTTATATTACTCAGAGATGTGATTATAAGATATATTTATAAATAAAGGGATCACAGTATAAGAGGTGAGATTGTGCAGAATTTTTTTCAGTACTTCAGTGTGTTTCTTGACAGGGAAAAACAAAGGAAAGCGGAAAAAGCCAAAGCAGTGACTGAACACAGAAACTTACAATTCCATTCTGTACACTGAAGCCCAGCTGGTATTTTAGGTCTGGCCGTTTTATGAGGACAGTTGTAACGGGAGGACAGCTGACAATGTTCAGTTTGACTTGTGTTTGATTCTTGAGTCCCTGTAAGATATTCCAAAAGTTAGTATTCCTGAAATGGATCTTAATTTGCTCTCATTTGTGATTTCCTAATTGCAAGAGTGTAAAGCAGCTAATCTAAGAAAGAACAGCTAGAGTTAGTAGAAATTTGTTGTTAATTTAAGAGATAGATTTCTCTTATTTATTTCCCAAGATATTTGGCCCCTCCCCAAAATCAAAATTTTGCCTTTAATTACTACAGAAATTTGAAGAAAGTTTTCAAGAAAAACTAAAACCAACTACTGCTTCCCCTTCACTGGCATCTGGCTAATTAATCTCCTGCTGCTGCTCTTGGTAAATATGCACAGACATCAGATTTAGTCTCCGTGACTAAAGACAAAGCATTCTGAGATTCCATTGTGTCTGGGCAATCTTCACTGATCAGTCTTGCAGCCTCCATCCATTTTATCTGCGTGGAGCCCAAGAAAGCACAGGAGATTTTAATCCTCAGATTTTATTCTGGAGGCTGTGGGGAAGCCTGAAGCTTTGAAGACAGCCAAGTAACTTAATTTAGGCAGACCTGGCCTATTTCTTATAGCCCAGTAAGAAAGCTGCAGTCATACTCTCCAGCCCTAAATTTCTGTACGTTATCATCCTGAATCTCTGTTTTTAATTCTGGTTGTTTTTTAATTACAGATTACTGGGGTTTTTTGCAGTGATATGAAAGACCACCTGCTGGAAATCTACAGGATCGCTTGTCAGAAGGTTCTATTTCTAATGGCTTACAATCTACAGCATAAAGTTGTGAATTCGGGGTACCTTTATGATCCCTTGGCATGTTGCAAGAGGTAGGCCAACTAAACTGGTCCCATTAATGGACATGATTTGGTCTCCAATGCTTAGTTTTCCTGAACGGGCAGCAGGGCCTCCATTCATCATGTTAGCCAGGATAACGGTGGGGAGAATGGATCCCCATCCAGATTCCACAATCACTACCCCAAGAATTTCTCCCTTCTGTTTTTCTATCTGGAGCTGCAATTAAAAAGAAAAAAAATTTTTTTTTGCTTTGATTTGTTTAAATTGGAGCATGACTATCTCTGTTCCTGAATAACATCTACAAATCACAAAACAGACTCTATTCTTTGTAGCAGGACTTCAAAAACACTGTTAAAACTGTGTAACACATACCTATATCTTTTCAGGGTTATACTAATTTGCTGGAGGTCCTATAGGTCCTTATGATAAGTAGAACACATACTGGTTAACTCTCTAGAAGGTGATGGAACTGGATAGCAAGGGAATGAATGCTGCAGAAGTTTCTGTCCCTGGAGCCTGGCAGCCAGAGGGCTCTAACATTTCATGGCTAAGGCACTGTCTGCAGCACAGGCTTGTGTTCAGCTCCACTCCTGCCATGCCAGCTTGTCTCTTATCTCAGGGTTTGTCTGTCCTTCTTTTCAGGCAACGATCTCTTGATGATTATTATTAACATAATTATTAACATTACTGAATACACTTGTGCCTAGCACATTAATGTTAGATCCCTGATGTAATGCAATGAGGACTTATCCTGAAGTATGGTGACGTCAACTGTTCCATAACCATAGCATATCTAAATTTATACAAGTGGAGTAAGAGTTTCCCTAGAGAACACACTCTTTAACAAAATACTGGGAATTATTTTCTTTCAAATGTGGAAGGACAGGGACACCCCTACTTACAGGAATTAGGATGGCCAGCTGTCTTTTGTTGAGACTACTGATTAAGGCTTTGAACCAACCCAGCATCCCACAGCTCTGTCATCTCTCTTGGATATCAATGCTTGGGTAAAGCATAAAATCACCTTACACTGTGTACTGGGAATAGTAGAGCTTATCTACATCAGATGTAAATATACTTTATTACCCTTCTGATCAACAGAAAGAGAAAGGCCCTGAAAATGAAAACACAAAATTCTAATAACTTATAAAACTGATACTTGTAGCAATAGTACTGATGAAGCCACACATCTTGAAATTCTAACACTGTCCTTATAATGCCAAAAGATACTTCCAAGAATGACATTCCTCTGGAAAAAAATGGATCAATCTGAAATGAAATTCCAAAATTAGTTTACCTCTTTGCAGTTTTCTGAATTGGAGAAGTGTATGAGATCATCATTGTACATCTCCTGGGTATTGATGATGTCACTGTATTCTTTCTGACTGAGATCCTCTGGGTTAATTCCATTGGCTCTTAAAAACTCCTGGTAAGCCACACTGAAAGCCTGACCGATGGACTGAGCAATCAGCTGTGCCTGCAGTGGAGAACAAGGCACAGCTCAGACAAAGGGTGGGGAAACAGTTTACCACAAAAACCACGGGAAACCAGGGGAGGGACTGGAATTTAAGACACTCAAAATAAAGGATTCTGCAAAGTTTCTGCATTAGCATGGATATAAAGTCACTTTAAGGTCTGTTGTATGGAAAGAATCCATTACATCCAAAATCAGATTGCAAACTCCATTTAAAAAGCCTGCTGATCTCCTTCATCAGCACGTTTCAGTAGCAAGCAGCCATATGCTGTCCATGCACTCCTTCCAATAAACACTGGAGAGTGCTGGCCTTGTACCAATATGAACAGAGCTCATGGAAAGGACTGTCACAAAGCCTGCTTCTGAACACAGTCCATCTGCAGGAGTGATGAGAGAAGGGATGCTCTGCTTTCACATGCCTTCCCAGACGTGTGCACTGATGGTTTTACTTGTTGTGTCACCTGCTGTTTCTGCACCTTGGTTTTACAGGACTGAAAACACTGCTCCAACAGAACCATCTGCTCTCCTATTCCCAGCAAACCAGCTCTACCCCTGCTTACCCACTGCACATCTAGAACAGCCATTCCCATTAACACCTCACTAGCAATGTCAGGGGTGATTTCAGGAGTGCAGCCAGAGCCATGATTAGTGCTTGCTAATGTTGAGAACACCTTTCCAAAATACCCCATCTTTCTTAAATTTTGGAGCACTTATCTGCATATTCCACTAGATGGCAAGAGAACACAGAGCAACAGAGTGGAGATCAGGAAAAGGAATCTCTAGTCCAGTTTTTCCACACCTGAATTATTTTTTCCCCTATTTGAGTTTACTGCAGCCACATTGACTTTTGTATATTTGTGGGGTTTGGGTACTGAATTCTGTCATTCAGGGATATAAGTCCTAGTGACAGGAGAAGAAGTTAACTGCATCTTACAATGGAACTCCAGGAAAACATTACTAATCAAACCCTTATTCTGGAAATGCAACACACCTTCTTAGACAGTAGGTACATGCCAAATGCATTACAAATGCACAGGGTTTTCTGGACAGCATTATAAATCTGTATCTTCTTACAATCTACTGATCAGGTGTGTTCTTTGATGCTAAAAGATGGTTTTATTTCATTTGTGCTGCAGTACACAAAAGCACCAATCGGTCTGACTGGAAAATGATTTTAGAAAATCAAGGACTTAAATAGCCTAGCCAGTCACAAATTGTTTTTTCATCTTTTAAAACATGTTTTCAAATCTTATCACTATAGCAAGAGGTTTGTGGTAATATGGTGGCACAGGAATAATCCAGAACATTTTCATAGCATTCCACTGTTAAAGTTTATCACCAGTCCTTACTGACTTCTTTCGACCTCCAGTGCCACTGCTTTCTCTGTACTTGGTCCTTTGCATCTGCCTCCATTCTACAGTCTCAAAACCAGCATCTCCAGATGTCACACTTTATTCTGTTACTGCTGCTAACAGCTAGTTCTCACATCTTAATTTCATCTATATCTCCAAGGTCTTGTGACTGGTTAGGAAAGTCCTCAGCACAACTTAGAGATAATGTAATTAAGTTGCTTGAATAGGCCACCCCAGCAGAGCAGTGACAGAGCTGAGATAACGAGGTCTCAGAACAACCCAGTCTAGCACTCTAACCTTTAGACAATTCCATTTCTCCTTCACAGGTTTAATTACTTTAATGAAAATGATTGCTCAGCTCAAAAATATGCAACCTCTGAGTTAAGACTATCTGAACCACAGAACTCAATTATTTTTAAATGGTATGACAGAAATGATAATTAAATCTGTTCCCATATAATAATGATGAGAAATGTTTAGTACTGCCTCTTACTGTCAAGTTAGAACAGACAACAAATTTTGCTCTTTCTGTTTTACTAAGCTTAGTATATTTTTCCAAAAATGTTTTAGGTTGAAGTCCCCTGGTCTCCAGACACAAGTATCTACTTTGCTACAAAAGCACACCTGGATATATAAGAGCAGTAAAGCAAGGTCACCTTCCTTTGCCACAAGAGGAATGGGATGGCATGTCAGGGCTTTTCCCAGTGGTGAAACAGGATGTACAGCAGGGATGTACAGAACTCTTCTGCAACCACTACATCTGCAACCCTGTTTTGAGAATGGCTCCAAGTTCTTTCACCTTTTAGTATTTCTGATGCAAATGAAAATTAAAACGTAAATTCTGAAGTGGTCACTTCTTTCTTTGAACAGACTTTGAACAAAAAAGTGGGTTAGGGCTAACACGGTATTGGATCTCAGAGTATCTTATGGCTTAAAATGACTGAAATTATGTTTGCTATTGTATAGCAGTACTAAGGGTAGTAAGAGTAATGGCCATGAAGACAAATTTCTATAAATACTGACAACAAAACTATCTTAGCTTGACTTTCCAGTACCTGAAGGGAGCCTACAAGAAAGATGGAGAAAGAGTTTTGACAAGGCATGTAGTGACAGGACAAACAAGAGTAGTTTAGATTAGATATGACGAAGAAATTCTTTCCTGTGAGAGTGGTGAGGCCCTGGCACAGGTTGCCCAGAGAAACTGTGGCTACCCCATCCCTGGAAGTGTCCAAGGTCAGGTTGGATGGAAATCTGAGCAACCTGATGTAGTGGAAGGTGTCCCTGCCTGTGGCAGGGGGGTTGGAACCATAGGATCTTTAAGGTCCCTTCCGACCCAAGCCATTCTATGATTCTGTCTAAAAACTCTAATTCATAATCTTTGCTAGGGGTGAAAAAGGAGAACTGAAAAATAAACAGCTGAATGTGTTCTTAAACAGCAAAGGATCAAGTGTCATGTTTAAGAGTATGTCTATCAACTCAAGGTAAACAAGCCACAGGGCATAAGGACTGTGTGAGGGGCAGCCTTGTTCCTGGCCTGCCAAGTTCATATTCTCAGCAATTTGGATTCAGTTTGAAAGAGGTCCAGAATGGTTCCACCTCATGCCAAGATTCTTGAGGCATATATGTGTCCCTATGTGCCAACCTGCTGGACTAAGGGCAGGGTCATCTAATCCAGGACGAATGAACAATTTGACATCCCATAAATTAATTCTGACTTCAGAGATTCTCTACATGAGATATGCCATTTAAATAAATTTAATTCCATTGACTTACGTCCTCTGATTCAAAGACATGGCAAATCATCTTGTACTGCTTCTTCCCTTCCTGGGCCCCAGGCGTGGTTTCAATGCAGTCCTGGGAAGCCGACCTGGGCATGCGGCGCCGCGCCATGAGGACCACGATGTTGCCGATGTCGGCGATGTACGAGATGGTGCGCAGCGCGTGGTCCATCATCGTCTCCTGCAGGGACAGAGACAGTGGGTTCCTGCTGTTCTACAAATACTGCATCTTCCCTCTCCTTTATGGCCTGTTGCCTGAGAATGACGAAAGCTCCAGAAGCCCTTTCTGTGGGCCCAGCCCTGATATGCCCTGTGCAGTCGATGGGCCTGAGCTCCCCGTGGAAGGCCTTGGCTGTTCATGGCTTCAGTGGAAGTGTTGCCCGAGGAAATGGAACGTGGTTGTTACTACAAAGCAATAGTGAAGAACTATACTACTGTTTTATAAATATTTTCATCCTGTTGGAAAATTCTGCTTCCCTTTTTGGTTTTGCTGAATGAAACAGATGCATGTCACAATGACAGAACAAGTTTTACAAAAATCATAGAGATAAGAGGTTATAATGTCCTGGGTTTTTAAATCATATCCTATAATAGCAATAATATCTAAGGTAACGTTTTCTCATATAAAGCAAAGCAATACTTCCTTTGTGAAGAGCTATGAAGGCAACATTTCACCTTCTCTGTAGGCAGAACTCTAAACACTTTTTTCAGCTACCTGCATATCTCAAAGCCATTTGGAGGCAACTGCTCTGGTGTCTTGGCTCACAGTCAAAATCTTGTTCCGCTCCTTATGCTGCCCATTTGGTTGTGCTGGGAGAACTCAACTCACAAGAGCCAATGCCTGTGAGAATGATTTTAAGTGAAAACCTCTCTAAGCTCTATCCTAATGAACATTTCTCATGTAAGGACACCTACAGAGTACTAAATTTAAAAAGCCTCTGTCTCAAATCCCTGAGCTCTGCATCTGTTTAATTACTTTAGCCTTTTAAACTCTTAATTTCCGCTATTAGCACGGAAATCCCAACCTCCTACTTTCAAATGTTTTTCTCCTGGGATATATCATTATTCAGATCATTATTCAGTGGCTTCGACCGAGTTGCCTTGGACAATGAAAACTTAAGTGTGTATCTGTAGTCAGATAATCCAGTTTAGTTGTCACTAAACTTACTTTGTTCCAGCTGTTACTATTTCATCTTTTGTTTCTATCTCCAGTTTATGCTTTTATCAATGGTTTCTTATATAAAAGAGCAATGGGGTCCCAGAAGGAAGGACCTTCAAGGACTTTTTATAACACTTCCTGTGCTCTGCTAAGTATAAACTCGTAGTAAGTTTTATTATTTCTGAATTCAGAATTAAGTATGAATAAAGTAATGTGGCTCAACATCTAGTAGTCTCATTTTCATTAAAAGGTTTCTATGTGTAAAATAATGTTATTTTAATAAAACAATGCATGTGACATTGCTACAGTGACCATTTCAAAGGATGTATTTAAGACTGCAAAGACAGAATGAAATACTTGTCTGCATCAATGTTTTAGACAATTATTTGTACCTTCATAGAGGTTTTTCTTGAGATGCCATATAAACAACCTGATTTCTCCTTTAGTTTTCTTAAATAAAACCAAATAAAACGGTACAACTTCTCTAAGTTTCCCAAAAGGTGTTCTGTTATACAAGATGTTTCAAATGTAAGAAACTTTTAGGTTTAAAATGAGAGTTTTAGAAATGTTCATGCAATCAAAAAATCTGACTGACTGCGTTTCCTTTCAGTGCCTTGAAGAAAAGCACTGTTACTGAAGTTTGTGTATGACTATGGAAGAAGAAAATTTCTAGAGAAAAAGGTAATATAGCTTATGTTAGTACTGCTTGTGTGGCAGACATTTTGACAATTTAGATCAAATATTGGAAAAGCCTATAAGGTATAGGGACCCCTGGAAGCCATGAAGTGGCATTTGAAGGCAGTGATGATTTACATTTTTTCCTGAGGAGACTCTCCCAAACTGTGTTTTCTTCACTGTGTGACTGTGCTGTCCCTCCTCACCCTAAATGCTTATGCTGAGCACTTAGTTCAGTTAGGATAGAGCCTTCTACTGCAACAAAGGCCAAGCAAGTGCCTCCAGACCATGGCATTACCTTTGTTTTCTATCATTTCTTAACACGTTTTGCCCCTGTAAAGATGCTCCTTAAAAAACAGAAAAAGGCCATCCAAAAATTGCTCCTTGCTGGGGTTACTGGTCAGTTTGGAGAGTTTTTCCAGACTTTAATGTAATGCTCAAACTAGAAACAATCAGAAGCATAGTGGTTTTATTGGCCAAACCAGCTGAGGATATGTCCTGAGCATCCCTGTCCCTCACCCTGAACAGTTAAGAATATCTGCCGAATTCTGCCTGAATTTGAATTAAAAATGTTGTGTAAGATAATTCACATTTTTTAATAATTTATCTAAGCAGTAGCATTCTTTATGTAAACAGCTTGGCAATAGTTTACCATTAGTTGAACAACTTTCTAAGGCCTAAGAAGAAAGACTGTTCCTCAAGTTAACAAAAGTAACTGTTTTAAGAATTGCAGTACAATTTAACTTGACACAGAAAAATACAAATTACCAATGTTTCCTGGAACCACCTGTCTTACTGAAGATAATCACTACCCATAAAATTATCGTAATGATTCTCCTCAGGCTTGACATAAAATGTCCTATGCTTATCCCCAGAGTATGAAAAGATGGTTAAGAGATGGTTTGGGGGGTGTCTCTAAGGGTTGCAGGGGCTCAGGAGGATTTCCAGCACTTCTGTCAGTATGGAGCAATGTTCTATAATGGACAGCTCTCAGCAGGATCTTGGCAGCACTGCAGATAACTGCCTGTCAGCAGTGTGCACTCACTGCTGTGTAAGGCTGTAATCATACATGTAGAGTGCAAAGCACGGGTGGGCTGGGAAAATGAAGGCATTTAATCTCACCTGCCAAGAGAGTCTTTCTGTCCTTATCATCACACAGAAGTTACTCAAAAAGATTTTTTGTCTTTTCCCCCCTGTTGGGGTGAAAGTAATCATTCCCCTCAACACTCCCACATTTTTCCTGTCTAGTGCAATTACAATTAGGAATGAGGCAAATATTATCTAGTGACTGTAATTCAGACTCTCTCAGCCTCTTTCAAAACCACTGTTCTGTCTTCTCCTGTCTAGATTCCCCTTGCTCCCAGAATCTCCATTTTTCTCCTGAGGAATTCTTTTAGAATCGTGTTTGTTGCATCTCTTGCAACCCAAAGAACGCCTGAAGGAGAGAAGCCTGGCATTCTCCCAAGCTTTCAAGTGATGTAGTCCCGTGGGAGTGTGACTGAGACAGCCCAATGACTCACACAATTTGATGGAACCAATCATCCACCAGAGGCTCTGCACATCCACATTTGGGATCTCTAGATCTTTCTTTTTCTTTGCTAGTTTTCCCAGTTGCTTCGCTCCCTGAATGAGCTGGGAGAGGCTGCTGTGGTGTTCCTGCTGGGTTTGTGCAGAGCAGTGGCACAGCTGGAATCCCTCACAAAGAAGGCACGTGGCCAAACCTAAAGCTGCTCCTACTGCAGGTACCCTAAACAGGAGCTCAGCTTGGGCTGAATGTGTTCACCAACTCAATGCAGGAGCAACCAAGAAGTGGCAGGGGTGCCGTTGCCTGGGGCAGCTGAGGGCAACAGAATCACCACCACTGGCCCTGTTCCAGCCTGGCAGTGCCCCTTACTGGTGCCACCAGCATTGAGAACTCTGCTGTATGGCATTTTCGAAATGAGAATTTTAGATTTTGAATCAGCTGTTACCTCATGTGAGCTATACAACACTACAGATGGATTAAAACACGTTTGGCACACTGCAGAAATAGGTTTTATATAATTGATAAAACCATGAAAGTACAGATTGTCTCTGCCAGCTGCCACAGCAGCTGAAATAATCTGTGACAATTACACCAGTCAGGAAACTTCACTAGCACTGAAAAATGTGACCAAGCCAAAAATGCTAAAAAGCCATGGGAATAGGTTTGTTACAGCACTGAAAGATGCACTGTAAAAAAGACCAATGAACCCAACAAACAAAAACCCACCACCACCACCAAAACCCCAAAACAAACCACCCCAAAGCCCCAAAACAAACCACCCCAAAGAACCCAAAACAAACCACCCCAAAGAACCCAAAACAAACCACCCCAAAGAACCCAAAACAAACCCAAAAACCAGGGCAAGCACCAAAGAGCTTGGAATTATAACAATTTCCAGTGTTACTGTTTTCATCTAGTTGAGCAGCTAAAGACACCGTTCCTCACCCTGCACTGCGTTTTGCATCACCAGAAATCTCAGGGATTCAGAAGAAGATGATGACGGTTCCTTTGACAATGTTTATGGTCTACCTCAAAGGACTTTCCTTTTTTATTTTTAAAAGGATTGGTGTCCAGCTGAAATGTTGAACTATTTAAAGAAGTAAGAAGAGTGACTTCCACTAAGACTAATCCTTACTCAACAAAAACAACTTACTTATTTACTGCCATACATTCTAACTATAAACTGTAGCTGTTAATTTATCAATAATTCTCTGCAATCATCTTTAAACTGATTAGCATTTTATTTTCTGCTAATGCTAATATACTCTCTGGATGATGCAGATTTACCACAAGGTCAAAACAAGGCTGAGCCATAACAAATAGTGGTATTGCTTTTCATGGATGAAATTCAATATCAGATGATTTATGGATGGCAGAGTGTAAATATTGCTGCCCATGTTAGATGGGATATCCTACTCCTCATCTGGCTCTTTCTCTTGGGAGTTCTAGTGGCATGTTAAGGACATCTGCTTATGTTAGAAGAAAAATAATCCATTTCCTGGAGAAACTATCATTACCCTCCCATTCAAGGACAGTAATGCTCTCCTACATCTCAGGAAGAAGTAAGTGCTTCATAATTCCCTCAGAAAAACAAATTATATACTAATTGAAAACAAAACAAAATCCTAAATGTAGAGTGCTGCATTTATTTTTATTCAAGTATCTCTTATAGTTCTAGCTCATTTCTTCAGTTAGCCATGACATTTCTGAACTCTGATCTTATACACCAAGATACAAGTTCAATAACCATTTTCTCTTTCCATCTTTCAAGCTGTTTATGAAAATATTGAATACTGAATTTCTTATGACAAGAAGTGTGCTTGTGAATCTCACTGTGTTCTTCTTCTCTTTATATTGCCACATAAATGGCAATATATAAGACATAACTACACAGAAATTATTTAGCCTGCTTCTATCTCTTGTATCTAGACCATACAATCTAGAAAATATATGAGATAAAAGCCTTATTTAAGTCAAGAGGTGGTGTGTGCTGCTTCTGTGCCATGGACAACTGTTTTCCCCATCACAAAAGTAAATATTGATTTGACATGATTTACTTCTGACTAATCTGTGCTGACTCTTGCTCATCTCCACTCACACAAAGCATTTGTTTTGGTATCTTTCTGACAGTTAAAATATTTACTGTAATCCTGTTTTCTTACTAGAAAGAACCCAAAACTGAAACAATAACTTCCTAATTCTGGAAGAGTGTCATTAAAAGGATAATGTAAGGTACTCAAACCAGTTTTCCAAATAGTACAAGATGAATTTTCTAATTTGGTTAATTTAACTTTCTACATGGTTTGTTCTTTAGTGTAACTTCAGGTCTAAAAATTTTTCAGCTGCATACAATGAAGTTTCTTTGTGAAAACTAAAGAAAAAGACATCACTAAAATTTCCTTTTTCAATACCCCTCATAAGAAGGAGAATTTAAAGACTTCAGATAAGTATGATCAAAGTCTAAGAGATCTTGTGAGATTATGATACTAAATATTGGGATCCATCTACAAATTATTTAATTGTAAATTCCTTAAAGATGTCCTTACAAAGATCACCTCTTGTGGAATACAGAAGTATTCCTAGAAGATGAAGCTGATCACTGCTGTGATCACTGCCAGATGCTCCTTTTATATGAACAACTAATAATTTACCTTAAGCATGAGGATGGTGGCTCAGATGTGATTTATGGGGAAAAAAAGAGATTAAATATTAAAAATGGCAAGATATGAATGATTTAGTCAAGGCAGCAAACGACTTCCCTGTTGGGCTGTAAATCTGGGTTCTGAAACTGTTTCAGAGGAACAGTGTACATGCATTCTGAAAGACTTTGAATCTTTTTCTATATTGCATTACACGTCTCAGCAACATGCAGACATCTTCCAATACCTCAAGTAAGCAAAACTGGTGTCAGTATTACTATATTTGCAGTGCTACAACAACAGGAGCTATTTCTGAATACTCTCACAGCAGTGAATTTATCCAAATTTAGGGAAGTGCATATACTGAGTCTAACTCAACCTTATTCTTGAAGAGTTTTAATCCCAACTTACCTGTGTGTCTGCATTTAAAACTTTGATTCTCTGTGTGGAGATGAACAGATCCACTTCAGTCAAGGCCTGGGAATCTCCCTCTGAAGTCTAAAAGACAGATGCTTTGTTACAAAGGGATTTTTTAATTCTCTCTTTAGAATGACAACTTCACTGATTGCTTCAAGCATAATGTGATGGGAGGCAACTGCACTTTAAACCACTCGAGAGATGGCTATTCAGAGGTGTTTCTAAATACATGCAAAGAGTACATTTACTGCACAGAAGGAGTGAAGCATACTCTGATTTTCTGGGAAAGAGGGAATTTTTGGAGCCTCTGTGACTGACAGCTCAAGTATTGAAAGTCTCTATTTATAGCCAGAACAGGAGAAAAAGTATGGCTGTTTTTTCCCCATTTTCTCACTGATGCAGTTCAGTACCTGAGGCACCAGAATTGAGAAAGTAGAACTGAGAAAGGGACTTAGTCCCCCCGCAGCTGCTCAGCCCTTGCCATCTCAGTGAGCTGACCAAGAGCAAGCTGATGCTCAGTACTGGGTGGGGGGGTTAGGTCTGTTCTTTTTTGGATTTTTAGTTTATTTTTTCCTAGAAAATAAAGAATTAAGGACTGAACTAGTATTTCTCTCATATCACAGAAAGCCATCATCTGACTTCTGGTGCTCAACCTCTGAGCAGTGCTCATGAGGGAAACAATTCCATGTCCCATTAGAGAACATGGTCACAGAGCAGGGGGCATCAGCCCCCAGGTTCTTTCCCAGTTCAAGGAAGAACAATGGATTTGTTGTTCTTTTTTTGAGTTATAAAGTATTAACTATGCCTATAATTCATTCAGATTAATTTTATTTGAATTTTCATCCAGCAAAATGCACAGCAAGCACATACTTTGGCAGAGATTACTTGTATCACTCCCATCCTTTTAGTGATATTTTTGTCAACTGCATTTAGTTAAGTGAAGTATTGTTTTTAACTGAGTGAAATGTTTCCTGTATGACTTGTTCCAGCTACTATGTGGTTTTGGTTTTAAATATCAACAGTAATGAACATACAGTAAGTCACAGGCACAGGAAATACATCTTCCTGCTTTGGTTAGTAAAATCAAAATAAGCATTACATTCAGGAAAACCTCCCAGATAACAGTGGCTGTATAGCTGGATTAAACAAATCACAGGTATTCAACAGAGGAAGGGCAGCAGACAGGCACTGCAGCAAACCAACAATGAAGAAAATGAGTTCATTTTACTCCACTCACTATTCTACTGCTTAAAAAAGAAGAAACCAAAATGACAACTTTATGAGGATCCATAATGAAAGACGTTAACACTCCATGGAAAACAACAAAAATGTAAACATTAGCATTCAAGAAAAACAGTTTACACACCGCTTTTTTCTTGATTTTAGCCGCCTTTTGCATCCTCTGAGGAGTAGCATAAAAAAAGAATGCAGACAGATGTACACACAAGGAAAGAGAAAATACAGTGTGGGAAGTCAGGGAAACCTTTTGACTATGAATCCAGGCTGTTGGAAATTAAAAAACTGGGGGCAGAGGAGAAGAATGTGCAAGAGAGAAAGATCTGCTTATACCTTACGGAGTTCTCAAGATAACTGGATTTAATGGCATTATGCATGTTGTCAATTGATTACAAAAAAAATTGGTACCAAAGTGTTGTCTGTTAACAGCTGCTCTTCACACTTATCCTGCTAAATTTACAGCAGTGGGAAATGGCAGTACAGGCACTGTGCCAAAGCCAGGGTTTTCTGCCCATGTTGATCACATGTCTGTGTGTAACTGTTGAACAAAACATAACTCCAGCTCTCTCCACAACTGCCTAAAGTAGTCAGGTACCCCTGGCAGACCAGGGTTGGTAATAACATACAAAGAAGTGTCTAGGGATTTAATTGCAATCAACAATTACTTACTGTAGCCTGAGACATCCCAATATGCTAAACAGAAACTCAAAGGTTTGGAAAGTTTAAAGATATGGACATTTCCTGCATTCCATTTGTTTTAATCATGAATCATGACATGTCTCTTGCTAAGTAAGTGGTTTTTTGAAACCAGTTTCCTTCAAAAACATGCAATTTTTAGCAATTAAATATTTTATTGACTAAGCACATACTTTTTCTCTTAGCATTTAAATCTGCCTCTTTCTAACCACGTGTTATTTAGATGAGGTATTTGCAGCAGAGTCACAAAAAATTTTAAAATAAAAATATCCTACTGGGATTATCAACCAAAAAAATACTTTTGATACACAGCTGTATGAAACAGTCTATGCTACATTATTTACAAATGAATTGTTCACTGTAAATAATACCAAATCCAAACACAACAGTAAGGAATGTTGTTGTCCTAAAAAAATAATAATTCAATATATTGAGAGCGACCTTCTCAATTTGTAGTAAGTTAAAGGAATTAACGACATGAGTAAAACCACAGTCAAATAAATATCCTGTGCTTTGCCATTGAAATATTTTCTAATTGCAGCCTACAACTTGTCTTTAATGACTGAGTTTGTCACACAGCTTCCAAAGAATTTTGAATAGACTTTGGAATCATTTATATTTTGCCCCTTAGAGATGCCGTGTGTATTTTTATATCAAGCACTGTAAACTCATGGTATTTACAGAACTAGATCTACACTTATTTATAGATCTCTAGAGAGATTGGAGAGGTAAATGCACACTTGAGGAGAGGTGTGAGCTGCAGGCCCTGCCCCACCTTCACCCGACTGACGGCCTCCTGCGCCTGCATCATGCGGATGTTCTTGGAGGGGTTGCGCTCCGAAAGCAGCTGAGTGGAGCCCAGGTAATTGGCTGCGAAGATGATGCCATCGATGAGGTCTTCGGGTTCACAGGGTCCTGGAACTGACAGGAGACATTTATTGTTACTGCCTTGCAAAAGAGTGCAGAAAGAGGAGAAACTGAGTAGGGGACATTGCAGCTTGAACAACCTTTTTAATACCTTCTTTAACATGAAACAGGTGAAGAACTCTAGTTCTTCAAAGTAAATGCAAAGTAAATTCTGTTTTCCCCTATAATTATTCCCCACAAAAACCCAGCATATTAACTGAACGTACAGTATAACATTGCACAATGGTTTGACTGTGGAATTCTATAGGCAAATAATTGGCAAATTCTTCCTGTGTTGCACTGCTAAACACATTAGGATTATTTACAAGTTTCAGAAATGCTAACAGGTACCTCTACCATACCTTTCTTACTATTTATAACTGTTACATGGCATGAGCTAAACTTCTGTTTGAATACAGATTTGTGGTTTAACTTTTTTTTTTTTTTGAGATGTTTGTAAAAGTACACAGTCCCTGAATCTCTTCTCTGGCAAAAATACCAATGAACAATGGGCACCACACAGGCACAAAGCAGGCCTCTTGATGCTGTTTAGTCAAGTGTAAGGTCTGAATTCAGAGAAAGTTTTCTTTTAGCCTTCATTCAACAAATACACTTAGTATTAATTACATTGTGACTTTGATGAAATCCTAACATTATCTTGCACTTTGCAAGTTGTTTCTTACAAAGGATGCAAAAGGGGGCAGGGAGAACAGAGTAAAACCTATATATAGTCATACTAGGACTGGGCACATCATCCTCTTTATTAAGCTGTTAAGCTTTACATCTAACTTGATTAGATCAATAAAAACCAGTCCTTCCAGACTCTGGCTGAAATCTCTTGATAATGAATAATTTTTGTTCCTCAAGAGTTTTGTAAAACAAATTTGCTTTGAGCTAGATCAACTTGCCAACCTCCTAACACAGTTTTTGAAGTATATTAATCTTGTGTGAGGAGAAAACTTACACCAAAAGGGAATATTAATTTTAAAAAAAGGTTTATTGTTCAGTGTTCAATTTATTTATAATCAATTCAATGTGGAAGATTATTATATGGAGGAGGAAGAATTTATGGCATGCTATTGCTGATTAAATGTACCCAAAAAGTGGTTTGCACATATAACTTTCAGTGAGCATTCCTATCCTTCATTTTCCCATTCCAATTTAGCAGAACTCTTCCAACAGAAAATAAACATGATTGAAAGAAGTGACTTTCCTCTTCAAGCAATACTTCCCTGCAGTTCACTGAATGAAATCATAACCAAAATTCCACAAGAACTCCATTCCTATATCTCTGTTCTCTTTGCTTACATCTTTGTACCATTCCATTTGCCAGCACATGGAGCATGTATTTGATGGTACCTCTGCTGATGGTGTTACTCATAGGTCTAAAACAGTCTCATACATCTCTCCTTGATGCTGGCATCTTGATTCAAGGGTACCAGAGAGGGGAATTAATTAAAGATGTCAATTTAATGTTAAGCTAGCAAAACCTCAGTAGATACCTGCATCAACACGCTCATTCAAAATTAAAGTGCCTTTATTTCCTTCATTCACTTCAGGTTAAGTAAATCAAGCTAAATTGAATCCAGATTGCTTTAACTCTGAAATATGCTTACCCATATAATGTTTAAATCAGTTTAAGTAAACTCCTTTAGCAGGTAATTTAGATTAATTTTCTTTAAATACTTCGTGTCTGAAGACAAGTAAAATTCAATTCTTGCTGCAAATTCTAATATACTCATTACTACATCAAGCAAATACCAAAACTCTAGGAGTCTGCAGGATTTGTCAACAAAAAAAGTTGTGCTGGCTATTTGAAATATATCTGTCCCTTCATCTAATTTCTTTCCATCCCAAAAGCTCTGGAAGAACTCAGGAAAGTGTTTTCTTTCTGTGATTCTGTTTTCTCTTCAATTATTTCCGAGTATGTTGAATTTGGCCCACTTCCAGAGTGCTTTGCACATCTTTAAGCAAGACATTTTTGCCTTGGTTTCCAAGTCATTGATAGGCTACACAACAATTTCTTCTCACGTCTTGGCTGTTTGGTGACAGCAATGGTGCTTTTAACTAATTTGTATGAAAAGCTTCTTGAACGTGGAAATAACCTAAGATGTTAAGCAATTTTATATAATGTTATTTATTGGGATTCTTTAAAGATTGGGGGGGGGGGTTGGATGTTTCATCATTTCTTCACAGCACTAGAAAGTGTTTTTTTCTGTAACCATTATATGAGCAACAACATCTGCTACATCATCTATAAATCAACAGCATGTATAAAATACCTACAGCCATAAATAATACAGAAAAAAAAACCAAACACACCAAAAAAGTCCTTGCTGGGCAGAAAGCACTTCCAATTCCAACATACATTTCCCATCACGAAGGCAATGTAAGCAGTTGTCAGGTAAAATAAGACATCTGTGGGAAGGATGGAATGGTACTGAAAATTGCCAGGGTCAAACTGGGTCACCTGAGTGTTTTCTTCCCTTATCTCTGTCTGCTTTAAATAATGCAAAAATGCAGACTTGGCTGAGGTCCCAGCTCATCAGAGCACTTAAGCATGACCTTGACTGCAAGCATGTGTAAGGCTTACTGATGAGGAAGGGAAGGAGGAATAGATTTCTAACTTGAAGGTTAGTTTGATGGGAGCCAAGACTGCAATTTTATGTTGAGTATTGGTGCTTAAATATTAGGTAACTATTTCTGAAAAATCTGAATTTCTGCACCATCTTATCAATGCAATAGAGATTACTTGGTTTTCTGCTGATCTATTAATGCAACATATTTCTAGACTAAGTAGACCAGGTGTAAACATTTTAAAATTAACTTTTGTATTCATAAAATAAGAAAAATATTCAATAATTCAGCATAACTGAATTTAATAATCATTTAATATTCATTTTTATATCTATCTAACATCATGTGTAACCCAAGGATTCAGACAGTATTTAGAGGTTGCACTCAGAACACTGAAGCACCTTCAGCTTCTTTCTGAACTATCACAGTGCACTGAGGCCTTGGGATATGTGGCACAGCAGCACATTTTGCATAAGGAGTAAATGGACACAGGGCATAAGTCACCTTTCAGAATGCCTATCTACAACTTCCATATTTTGGCTGATTTCTTTACTTCATCAAGCTTCTTACTGTGCAGGGGTGATTCATGGTGATACAACAGAGAGCAAAAAAGCCAGAACCACTGAACGTGGAGCTAATTACCACTACAAGCACATGGTAGTATTACTACTGACACAATTCCAACAGCAAAAGGACTCATTTCCAATATTTTTGGGCCTGTTATCTAATTTTTTTTTAAGTTCACATGCACATGAAAGATACTATGCATTAACAGAGACACAGATATAGCTACTGTAGTTAAGGAGTCATGCTGTAAGTGCTTTAATATAACCAGAATATGGTTGTGGGTTGTGGTATCACTGTCAAAGCTCAGGGAAGAACAGCAGTGTTAGCTGGCAGAACCTTTTCTCATGTGCAGAAAGGTCCTGCTCTTTTTGGGACTCTGCATACAAACTAATAATAAAAACTGTGGAGAGCAGTCAGGAGCTATCATAAGCTCCTAGTGGGCCATGTATTTATTTGTATTAGACAAAGCCAGATAATACCTGCAATAGAGAAAGCCTAACACACAGCTTATTTTCACATGCAGTGCAACTACAGGAAAAATCAGAGAAAGCAAAAGGATTGAACTAAAAAGAAAAGGATTATGCTATGTGAAAGAGTATTCTGATCCCTTTCCAGCAGAGTGTTGAGATGACTGGTATGGAAAGAAAAAGACAAAGTTTTTATCCAAACAAAATTAAACTGTGCAGTTGTATCTGCAGTGCTGTGAGGGGTGAATTCCCCAGCCTGTTCTCCAGCTCTGTAAGAAGCGTCTGCTGATTGTCTGGTGGACAACCATAATACAAGGGAGCGAGCACAAAGCACCAGCCTGCTTTCTTGGCTCTGCCCCCCGTGGAGAATGCATTTCAATTTACCTCTATTTAGGGCCTGTTAGCCACTACATGCCAAGTGTTCCATGTAATGTCCCTCAGATGTCAATCTCGAGGGACAATCTCTGATCTTTCCACTTGTTCTAGCTCTTTAAAGAAATTACTGAAAACAGAAGATGAATGTCAAGGTGATGAGATCAGGGAATAAAAGAAAAATTTATTGGACATTCTAATATTATTCTAAATTGCATTTTTTCCTGATTTGAGAAATGCATTAAAAATTAAGTTTTTAACATTCTTTTATGGTTTCTGTTGTGTGTGGTCATGGCAGATCTAAGGGGTCAGATCCTTGGAAATCTCCTACTGTTGTTTCTCACTTCACAGTGTAGACATTTCCTCTGCAGGAAGAGCTGTATGCATTTTCCCCATAAAAAGTGCTTCATCTGTCTGTGAATCAGTGTGATAATGTTTTTCAGTACAATCCTATTTTATTTCTGTCCACCTTCTTGTGTTAATAAATTGACTTATTTTTCTTCAAACAGAATATAGCAGTGCAAAGGAGATTGAAAAATCATGTCAAAGCATTGCTCTCCTACCCAGAGGACTGAATGACTGGGTTTTTGTCAGTTCAGGAGAACCTGTCTGTTTGTGCTCACAACTGAGATTCCCAGAGTGCAACAATGGGCCCTGAAGAACACAGGGCTCCTGTACATTCATAAATCTGCACCCTGCTGGGGCCCACTGTTACCACCTTTTCTAACCACGATGTAGTTGTCTCCATCTTCACCTGAATTCTTCTGCTCCTGCCTTTTATCACCACTATGCTCCCACTGCCATGGGGAAGCACGAAAATGTTCAATACTTCCATACCTCAACTTTTCCGTTTTCTGTAAAGTTTTCTCTTGGGTTTGACTGGTTTCTAGAACTGTGATCTTTAATATATATTAAAGTATTTGCTTCCACTTTGTCCTACTTCAACTATGGATGATGTCAAACTTACCATCAACAAAACTTGGAAAGGAAGACACTTTCTTTGTCTGTTGAGAAATAAAAACGGTACAGTTGTAACCAAATAACTTTCACACAATGAAGTGAATTCATATTAAACAGCTGACCACTGCCACACAGCCACTATTCAGCACAGTGAAACACATTACATCACAGTCATGAACCCAACCTAAGTGTTACAGAGTGTACCTGGAATCTCAAAGCAGATGTCAACGCACAAAAACATATAAGGAAGGCAGCGGAAAAACATGAAAATTATCTAGGAAATCAGCTATCAAATGAGCAACACAACCCAGCAATTCCCAGCCCAATAATTTGTCCATTAGATCACATTGCCTATTAATGATACATCAATTTTCCAATAAGAACATTTAACAAAGCAAGATTCTGGGTCAGCGAATAAAAAGAACTGTCCCTGACTGCACACATTACACTTGATCTAGCAAGTAGTTTTACTCTCCTGTCTCTATTCTCAATAAACAAACACAGTCCTTCCATTCCTCATCTTCTGCCAGTCTCCTCAGTCATTCCTGTTTCCAGGAAAGAGGCTGATTTCTCCATCATGGGAAAAGGCTTTAGAAATGTGGCTCTTCATTAATATAACAGGCTACAGGATAAATATGTTACGTTTTTAGACAACAGACTTCTGCTCCTAAGTCTGAATATCATTGCATTGTGCTTTGCCTCAAGCATAACTCATTCTGCATTCTTAGATGTCTTCTTTGCTCCAGCCTTCAGTGACAGAGTAGGTCTGTCTGCCACTGCATCTCCTCACAGCTGACTAACCAGGACTGACACTGGCAGTGGGGTGGGGGAGGAATAGAAATCAATTTCTTTTTGATGCTATTTTGCTCTCCAATAATCCAAAAAGAGAACTTCTGAACTGTTCTCCCTACGTCATCAGAAAATTTCAGGCTTGAGTACATGCCATGTACAGTTACATAAAATGAATGAGGCAGCAAACATTCATGGGTATAGTTCAAAGAGTTTTCAGAGTAGGCACACATGGTATTTACTGTCAGTTCAGGAAAAGAAACAGAGCCTAAGTCTGGGTGTGTGAGAGGGAGAAAGCTGGCAGTGTGATGCCTACTTTCCCTCGGGGAATGCTCAGGAGACAGCCAGGCAGCCCGGGGGACCTACCTCAGGTGTGTTATTATTGTCAACCGGCCCGTTGAGGTCTGAACGCTGCTGCTTCCTGGGCTGCTCTAAACCATTGCACATCTGAAAGAAAGAGGAAAGGATTTCAGATCCTTTTGTCTTCTGAAAAGCGTCAAAACAAAGTGGAAGTTAATGGTGCAAAGATAATCAGAAAATTCTCAACAGATTAAATTAAATTTACTTTAAAAAAATCACAAAACATTAACATTAACTCTACTTAGTGTGTTCTCTATTACTTATCTGTAGTTATTTATGTACAATCAATATTCATTACTGTTACAGAAATACAAAAATGTGATATAACCAAATTTCCTATTGTAATTTAGTAAATATCAGTTTCATACAAAAACATTGTGTTGAATTAAAATAAAATATCTACTTTGATGTAAATTATAAGACATTTCAATTATCATTAAGTGTAGTTATACTACTGATTTAAATTGAAATTATTTTATTTAATGCAAATTTTTCACATGAAATTGAGCCAAATGCTGACATGTTCAAATTATTCAGAAACCAAAATAAGAATTTTTACATGTGCTCATTCTCAGTACTGGACATAATCAAAACAGCCCTAACAGCCATCTGAAAAACAGAATTCTAGCACTGAGTACAGGATCCTGTGTTTGTGGGAGATACTTCTTGGCATCTCCTTCCTTTTGGGGCAAGCAAATCTACAGGATGCTGACAGCACAGCTTCAGGCTTCTGAGAAATGCAGAAGAGAAAATACACAAAGGAAGTACTGAGGTTTTTAAACTACAGAACACTCCTTTTTTTTCTAAATTCCAATAGTCACAGGGGCAGAATTTCTTCTCCAGATTGACACAAGTCACAGAACACCAGCAGCCAGCACAGGGAGTGCCTGTGTCCCATACGTGCCAAGAAAGTGAAGTTTTCATGACTCGGATTTGCAGGGTTAGAAATCTGGAAAGCCAAGGTGATTTCTGGAACAAATTGGTATGGTTTAGGATATTTCATTTTCCTTTTTTCTTAGTTTCTCCATTATGTATAAAAATGAGTGCCTAAATGTTGTTGTAAAGCTTCACAAATGAAAGCTTGTATCAACAACTGTGCAAATGGAAAACACCGAGCCCACATGATTTGAAAGGGTCAGTCTGAACATTAAATGTGAACATAACTCCTTGTCTTCTGACTCTCAAATGCAGTATCTAGCTGTAGTGAAAGAAAGTCTTTCTGTTCATCTCTGCACAAAGTACTCCCTATGACTAATATTTAGTCAGCTGAACAAAATATGCTAATGAAGCAAGCACATTAGAGCTATTATTAGCTCAGTAATGACAACGCTCAGGTAACACAACATATGCAAATCAAGTAGTAAGCAGGATTTTAAGAAAGAAAATTCCATCTGAGATACACACAGAGCACCAGGACTTGGGAACCCACTGACTAGTGCCTGTCTACATGGCTGTAATAGCTGAGAACCTTCCCAAATCTCTGCCTATAAACATAATTCTGTTTGAGACAGGACAACTCTAATGATATTGCATGGTTACACCAATATGGAGCAGTCTGTGTTGATGTGCAGTGAAATATATTAGTGAGGCAAACAAATATCTAGAGGGCTTTAAAACAACAAGCATAATCATCGCACATTATTCCCTAAAATAGTAGGATTTAGATTAAGTATCCTTTAAGCAGGGATTATGACATGGCCACAATGAAGATACATTACTGTAAACACTGACAGCAAACATATTAACTCCAGCATGTACAACAGAATGGTAATACTCTGACAGTTTTCTGATTAGCACACACTTGACTAAACTGAAAATGAACCTGCATGTAAAGAAAGAATCGGTTGTCAGTAAACGTACATTCTGTTACTCAATGTGGGCTGGAAGTTGGTTCATGCTCCCAAATGATCTGGCCAATGCCAAATAAATTATCATACTTGATACTTCTTTCTTCATGTTTCTTACAGAGTTAACAGTTCCTGCTGTTGGCTTGATTGTTACGAAATGCCCCCAGCACTTTCTCCATACTGATTAAATCCATGCCTTGTCACCCAGTTCAGCCCTGTGTGCTGATCTGAGCAGATACTTGCACTGCTGCAGCTCTGCTCTCCTTTCTCAGAGCTGAAGGGATGGGCACTGCCCACAGCTCTGTCCATCAGACAGCACTCTGGGGTGCTGTGGAGAGTGACTGGGTAAGCTCAGACAGTGGCTGTCACCTGGCACAGCAGCACTTCCTCCAGTATCAAACAAGATGAAGGCCCAAGACTGACTGGAAACAACAGCTAAAGCCCAGACAGAGCTTTATAGAAAGCTCTGTTCAGAAATATTTGGGTTCTTTTGGTTTTTTTCACACCAGGGGCAGTTACATCAATATCCCAGTGCCACACGACCCTCAGTTGTTATCAAAAATGATCAAGGTACAATGCAATTCAGCTCACTCTCTGATAAACAAACTTTGAAAGAGTACAAAAAGATGTTAAAAGTCTATTTAAAATTTTGTTTTGAATAGGCAATCATTTGGTAGGGAAAAAACCCAACAGTTTTAGTCAAGTATAGAAGAATTCACTTTCTTATTCAAGAGCTCCTCTTCTCCTTTGTTCTGCAAGTATTTTAAAAACTTGCAAGCAGCCACGCTCCCAGCAGCAGCTGCTGGTGTACTGTGCTAGAAAGACCACCACTAGTCCAAAATATGCTAAACTCAACTTCTCTGCTCCTAGCCCATACCTAGTAACTATTCAAACAATTCAAGATCATCAGGCTTATTCACAGAGGAACTTCTATGCCGACAGTAGGGCCCTAAATATAGTAAGTTACACTATTTGGTAATAATTATACTGCTGAAAATTGACTGTAAAATCAATATTAAAAACTTGCTGTACATATGGGTAATCTGAAAATATCCCCCTAGGATTTTTTTGTTCACAGTTATAATAAAGGTTGACCTGTTTGATCAGTATATACTTGAACATTTCACTTCTTTTTACTCTTTTCTGGATGAATTAACATTTTAATGTCTGGTTTTAATGAAATCACCTAGATTAAATTTTTTAACTGTGGGGCACTTCACTATAGAAAATTGCATTTACAGATTTGACAAAGACTGAAAGAGCAAACAGGCATCTGAAGCTTAATAAAGCATTTTAATTAAAGATAAGGCAAAATAATTCACTTGTTCTTACTAGTATCTCATCTAAATACAAGCTGTATTTTACCTCTTTTAGGTAGATCTCTCTTAATTGCAGAAGATAACTAATATTCAGCTGCATGTAACTTTAGAGATGCAAAGTCAAAGCTTTAAACTGACCTTAGGCCTCTCTAAGGAAGTTAACACATTCAATCGGAAACTTCAGGGGAAAAAAGTCACCCCTCTGTTCCTTTAGAAAAGCTTGAGCTTCATTCTCAGACTCTCTTTTTCTGGCACTCAGCATTAGAACAAGAAAAGATTATGCATGATTTAAATTAACTTCTACATCATTCCTGTGATAAAACTGCTTAACAGCATTTTTAGTACAAGTAAAGCTCCTATTTATTCCTTCTTGTCAAGGTCAAGACGTCCATCTAGGAAAAAACCACAGCAATACACAGGCACTCCTTGTAGTTGCTTTTAACACAGGCAGTATACAGCCTTGACACGTGTTCTATTGAAAACAAAAGTAATCACCCACTAAGGCAATGGTACAGGAAAATGGAAAAAAATTCAATTATTTCAATGCTGACCCGAGTTTTCAATTTCTCTGGTGCGCCACTGCAGAATGAAAATAGAGCAAACAAACTGGGTTTGCCCCATGCAACTGGAATACCTTTGTTGACCTAGAATTGTCTGTTCTCTGTGCAAAACCTCTTTGCTAGTTCTCTATGTATACTGATTACATTCAGCACCTTTTTCTAAACACACAAGGTGGCTGTGAATGCAGTAACAGTAAAAGTAAAAACATTGCTTATATATATATAATAATATATTTATAAATATATATAAATATTGCTAATATATAAAAATATCACTAATTTTGTTTTGAATAATTAATATAACACTTGCATAATGTTTCTGGTTAAACAGAGCACTTCATACCTGCTCTTGGGGCCACTTCTGTCTGTCCTCTGGGGTTCTTGACTTGGCTTTAAATCCTCGATGCACATCTCCACTGTGCTTCGAGGCAGATGGGATGTTCAGTGATTTTGGCCTCCCCTCATGCCTGTTAGCACTGTGAACAGCTTCTTCCTTTGAACAAGTCTCTTTGCACTCATGTGCCATGTTTTCAGTCCCCGTGTGCTCTGGACTCATTTCTGTTGTACTGTTAATACTGCTCATGCTCATACTCATTTTGATTTCTGCTACAATCTGGTCAATGTCCTCTTCCTGCTCTTCCAGCTCTGCATCCTCTTTTCTGGAATGGTACGGTGACATTCCCTGTGAATTGCCATTAGCCTCTGCTGGGTAATAGTCCAGATAGTCACCTTCACTTTGACAGTACTGTATGTTTTCTTCTTGGTCTTGAATCTCCAAAGATGACGCTTCATCCTCCAAAATCTGAACGCTGTTATCCTGACCTTCCTGCCACTCTTGCCTGTCCATCACCTCGCTTCCATCCTGGTGCTGAATTTTACCTTCAGCCCACTCTTCCACAGCTTCCTGACATTCATCTGTTTGAACGTGGTGTTCCTCCTGGGGAACATACTCCTCGCCATTGCAGTCCATTCCCTCCAGGTAACTGTCATCCTCTGGACAGTACCTGATGTAGTATGTGATCCCCTCCTCTTCCTCTGGCAAGCCCTCATCGTAGTCCTCCTCCTCGGAGGTGTTATTGACGTAGTCAGAGCTGGAGTCCCCGTCCCCACTGTGGTCATTGCACTCATGTTCCACGAGCGGAAGACTGCCTTGTCTGACAGTTGCTAGTTGTGCCTCTTTTGCTGCATAATCTTCAATAGGAAGGTCACTTTCTTCATTTTCAGGCTCTCTGCTGTGAGATGAAGTAGGGCAAGCTCTCACTCTGTGATCCAGCATGCTGGCTGTAGTGCTTTGGTGTTTCCTGTTTGCCATAGCCAACTCCTCATATGACAATCATTTCTGAGCGATTACTGTAGGGAAGATGGAAAAACACACATTCAGGAAAAGGTCATCAGTAGAGCTCAGTGATGTTAATAGGAAGCAAACTGATAGATTCATTTGGTAATAAGCATGTGTTTGTAGATATTTAAAGCAGATTCAGACAGCTAACTTTTAAAATGCTTGTGCTGTGGAACCATGAAATCAAAGTAATAACTTGCACACTGAAAGGAACAGATCAAGAGAAGGTTCTACATTTATGCTAAATGTATTATAGTGTAGGCTCTCTTCTGTCAATTTGACAGAGAATTAATCCTGAACCTTGAAATTAGTTTTCAATTTCTTTTTCTTACCAGTAAGGGGTCATGCTTTGATAGCTATGCAGTAAAAGGGAGTTCTCTTCAATTTTCAGCTCAGGCATTTCTTTAAGGTGTACTGCAAGCAAACATTTAGAATCTGACCTGCTCTTACCAAAACTAAAGGAGAATAATTCTATTAACTTGGCAGCCACATAGGGCACTAAAAGATAATGCACTGGTATTAAAGGCATTATTTTTTTTAAAAGCACTCACTATTAGCCCTTACTAGCTGGATGCCAGGGAGTATTTCCCATTCTTAAACCAAATACTGGTTGTAGAAGAGATTATTTCAGTTGGAAGGACCTACAAGGATTACCTAGTCCAACTGCCAGACTGTGCAGGGCTGACCAAGTCAAGGCATGTTTTAAGGGCCTTGTCCAAATGCCTCTGAAAACGCTGCCAGGCTTGGGGCACTGACCACACTGTAAGCCTGTTCCAGGTCTGACCACACTGTAAGCCTGTTCCAGGTCTGACCACCCTTTTGGTAAATGCCTTCCTCTTTCTCCTGTCCAGTCTGAAGCCATCATGACACAGCTCTGAAGCATTCCCATGCATCCTGGCACTGGATATCCTCTCCTGGGAGAGGAGCTCAGCACCTTCCTCTCCACTTCCTCTCCTCAGGATGCTGTGGAGAGCAACGAGGTCACCCCTCAGCCTCCCTGCCTGAAAGCAGAGCCTCCCAAAGCCCTCAGCCACCCCTGCCAGGACGCTCCTTCCAGCCCCTTCAGCAGCTGTGCTGCCTTCCTCTGGACATGCACAAGAACCTTCCCATCCTTCTAAAATTATGGGGCCCAGGACTGCACACAGTACCCCAGGGGAGGCCACACCAATGCTGAATGCAGCAGGGCATTTTATTTACAATAAAAGCTCACTAATTCCTCCTGCTAAACACTTTAAAATACCTATTTTTATCTATATACTGAATTCTAAATAATTAAGCAGGGATTATATGAACTGTATCAAAAATAGTCAAAAAACCCCAGCTAATTCTAGAGAGGCTTGGTAAGTGTGATCTGCTGTGTGTGATTTGGAAGGGAAAAACAATGTATTTTTAGTGTTATGTTTTTCTGTGTTTCATTGTTGTATCCTTATGATAAGCTTGACCTGTGCAGCTACTTCACTGGGGTGAACTCAGCTCAGGCTTCTGACTTGTACCATACAACTTCACGTTTTCCTTCTGCACCAAACAAGGACCTATCAGCCAACCATAGGAACATTTTAATATAACCAGCTTCTTGAGTCCTGTGTGCACACATAAAGCAATAAAATTAGCATGGATTTAGAGGATTAGAGTAGCTATGTAGAGAGGAATTTCTTAGGCCTTATGAAATTGTAAAAAAAATCCTGTCACTGTAACCTAAAACCTCCTAGATATCCCTGCAGAATTTCTGATACCACAAGAAAAACCCCAAACCTTAGTTTGAGACAAATCCAGGGATCTGATATATCTATGGATTATTGCAGTGACATCACGTGGCAAATCTCTCCTGAAACACAGATTCTAGATTCTGAGATACAAAGCTGAGACGCATGTCAGTCACAGGAGGAGACATGAAAGGAACCCAGCTCTTTTTAGTTACTGATATCTTGCAGAATTACTCTTGACAGAAAGCTTTAAAGTAAATAGAGTATCTGAAGAAAAGTTTAAAGGAGAAAATCAGAGAAGGCAAAACTTTCTCAGTGATTACCTGCCCCTCCGTGTCACTGTCAGAAGAACTAGCAGACTTGCAAGGTTTCTAATATGATCTGTATGCCCACTATGATGGGATAAACTTTAATAAACTAGGGATCCATTTGAACTGTGGAGTCAGTTATAAGAAACTCAGGCCACCAAGCAATCCATCCACTAGGGTTGCCTCTCATTTCATCAGCTCCACTTACTGCCAACTAAGGATGTTCCCATAGTGGGACTGCAGTATTAACAAAACTTACTTTACACTGGATCAAAACAGCATCTTGTCACAACACTGCAGTGCTCTGCACAGACTGCAAAAAACTGCCCACGAGACAAACTGCTTGTAAGAGCAGATCAGGCACAAAGAAACACACTACACAAGCATATCTAAAACCAGGTAAGATGGAGTGCTACAAATATTTTTGAATGGCATTGCAAGGAAACTACAGAGACTTCATGTCTTAACCAAAAATAATTTCTTGTCAAGAACAGAACAAATTAGTGTCTCTTGGGGAAAGAACAGATCTCATCTGCAAAGGCTTCAGTCTTCTAGTAATTGAAAATGTTCTCCATATTAAGTAGTACATAGAGATTTACAGTGCAGTCAACCCTGCCACAAGCCACCACCGTGCAGCTGAAGATACAGAAGCACAGAGTATGTGTTTGAAACTCATGACTCAGATTTTCCTAAAGCATATGGAGACAAGAATCCTTTTTTTAGCCAGGGTAATGGAGTTTTTCCACCCACATCTAAGAATCTTCACTCTGTACCCGGGCCCTGGTATCGCTACAGTGATAGCCTTTTATAAATTCCAGTAGGGAATGCTCACAGATGTTACTGAGCTGCAGGGAAATCACTGCATTCCAGGTGTTGTGTAACAGTGCTGTCACACCGGGCTGTTGGAATGTGCTGGTGGACAGGACAGGGCAGGGCCTGCAGGGGCAGGGATGGCTGGTGTGTGGCAGCTCCTCCAGCAGCTGTGGGCTCTGAGAAAAGGGTTCTCAGAGGGGCAGCACCAATGACAGCAGCTGCAGTTCTGCCTCCCAGCTGCCTTCAAAATGCAGCACAGGCACTATGGGAGGGAGTGGAAGGGAGGAACTTGGGAAAACAGTGGCTGACTGGAAACTTTTTAGAGCACTGGTCATAAGAAGCAGAGAAAATAATTCTTCTCAAGCACTGCCATACGAGGCCATGGGAAATGGGTTTTCAGTAAATTCAGTCTGAAGCAATGGCTGAAGACAGTGCTTTATCCCTGGATGCTGGAATTGAGCAAAATAAGCCTGATTTTTTGGTGAGAGGCGAGGCTGATCTTAATGCTATGGAAACTGAAGCTGCAAAGCAATCTCTGCACAACAAATACAATTCTAGTTGGCCTCTTCTGTAGCCTTCTCAGTCAGGCACTACTTTTTAGGGAACAAAGTACTGAAATAAAAAGGCAGCATTTGTTATTTTGAGCCCATGAATTGCAGGCTGAATGTGTGCTGATTATACCATCTTCAGCTATGAAATGTAACTTCTACAACTGTATGGACACATTGGAATTACTGAACAGAGTTTTCAAACACAAGTCTAGAAATGCTCTTTATAGAGCTGCACATACATTTCTGTCAAGGAAACACACAGCTGTATTTTAACTCAAGTATTAGGCAAGGCAACCTAGTTTTCTTCAAAATATCTCTCAGCTTCCTAGAAAAATGTTTTAGTCATAGATTAGGTTTAGCATAACCTAAATATTTTAAAACCCAAAAGCGTTCTAAGCATTTTCTAAGCTGTCTTATGTCACAGAGCAAAGTTACTGAGGAGCACAGGTCTGAACTCTCCTGTCTCCTCACCTACAGAGGTATTAGTTTACCTAGTGCTAAATGGATGATAATTAACTGAATCCCATGTATTCAGTTTTTTAAAGTACAAAACCAGAATTTGGATTTTTTTTTTTTTAGAAATGCAATAGATACCCAATTTTTGCCAAATGTTCTACTATTCAGACTACTTTGCAAAGCCTTCTGAGTCCCTGACTGCAGAGATTAATACTTTTTCTAATTTTTTTCAAGATACCTATGCTGTCACAAGCTGACACTGTAAGCGATATGTGAATATTAGCTAACACACTCCTGAAATTGGAGAAAATACTGGATTTCTATCTAATATTACTCCAGTGTCAAAGGGAAGAGAGGAGTAATGATTTGCTGCATCCAGAGGCACTTTATTAATAACACATCCCAACTGAATGCAGCTTTTAGAGTTAAAAAGTTTTGCTATTTCCAGCAGTGGTAATAAAAATACGTGTGATCACATATTTAATTATCATTTATTGTTGATGTGGCTTTAATCATTCTCTAGGGTTTCATTCCATGGCTCAGAGTGATACTAAACCCATCCAATTAGTTTGTGAGTAAAGATTTTGGGACTAGTATCAGTTTTGCAGTGCTAAAACTGCTATAGAGAAAAACAGATATCATTAAACCTATCTTAAACAGAGAGAAGGACAGAAGTAGAATATTTATATTCAGCAGAACAAGATGTGACTCCAAATTTAAGGCAGCAAGATTTTATGGCCTATTCTTGGGACTGCTCTGCTCCAAGAATAAGTTTCAAATAATGAAAAAGTACCTCTCAAGCACTCAAATGTTCCAGTGATAGCTATGCAGAGGCATCAACTTTAAGTTTTATTCCATAATAAATATACATTTTAGTATCTTCTTACGATTATTATATCTCCTAATTCACTGAGAGTAAGGGAAAAGTATAGGATGTATAGGAATAAGGGAAGGAAATCCAGGAGTAAGGGGAAAGTATACCATATATTAACATTATTATGTACAAAGAATATATGCCATTCAATTAAAACACACTTAGCCACTGTGAGACAACTTGCAATCCATCCACAGCTCTGGCAGCATTTTTAGTCTGTCCCAGAATGGATCATAACGAGTTGTACAATGTTTCACAGACGACCTTTCTGCTGACTAGGGAGGTTACTCAGAAGTCTGGCAAACT